AGGTCTTGATGCCATTATATATTGATCTGTCACTCATCTTATTTATTCTTCTGACAATGACTCGATTCCTATGGCTTTATACCCTCTCGTATCACAAGTCTCCCTGCCCCCTGGGTAAAACTCTTCAAAGTATTCTTGGCCATTTGCTTTCCTATAGTAGTTTAGGATCACTTTTCTGTCTTATTAGAACTGCTGGGGAGAATTAATATTTTTATGGTGTTTACTCTTCTACACATTTTTTCTCTTATTTGGATCTTCTTTAATGTCAAAGCCCTTTAGTTCTCACTTCTCACTCTCAGTTACCGTCCTAGTCCACATCATTATTATCTTGTTGGAAATTCTGCAGTATAAATGTACATCCTGAGCCCATGTTTATCCCCCCATCTCACCTCCCTCCCCTGTCTACTCTCCACATGGGGCCTAGAGTGATCTGTCAATCAGACTATGTCACCGCTATGCTCAAAACCCTCTAACAACTTCCATCTTACCAAGGATAAAAATGCAAATCTCTAACGATGACCTAGGAAGACCTATGCTATTGGTCACCAGCCGCTCCTCTGACCCCATCCTCTGCCATCTCAGCTTGCCCAGTCCACTCACGCCACTTGTAAGGATGCTCCCATCTCAGACTGTTCCTGCTGCTTGTCATTCTCCCCCCACAGACGGCTCACTCCCTCATGCCATTTAAGTATTTGCCCCAACATCACTTTGTATTAGAGAGGACTTCCTGCCGATGCTATCTCAACTAACACCCTTGTCCATATCACGACCCCGAACCAGCTTAATTTTTCTTCATAGCACCTGTCCTCACCTGACATAGCATCTATTTATCTGTTCATTTTCTTTTCCCCCCATTAGGACATGAACTCCAATGAGGACACAATATGTGGATGCTTCTGCTCTGTACACACTGTTTTCACTGTGGTGTCTGGACTATTGCAGTGAAATTGGTTCATTGTGTAAACTCTTCACACAATGCTTAGCACAGTGCCGGGTATATGGTAAGTCTTCAAGAATAGAATTTGTTCAATGTGGTTTTATATTTTCTCCATAAGGCCATGGATCTCTTTTGATAAACTTATTCCTGGACTCCTTACATATTATTTAGAAAGGTATATTTCCCATTTCTCTTTTTCCCCTATTTTTATCTGTGTTTTTGTGAAAGAGAAAGAAAGTTACTCAAAAATAAACTTGGTATCATTTCTACTTCTACATCTAGTCACACTCTTATTCCGCAGTGTTTTATTAAAGGACCTAACACTGGAGATAAACGGAGAGGATGCTTTAAATGCAGTATTTTCGTGTTGGCAGTAATATGTTGTGCCATTTGTCATTTAAAATAAAAAACTTCAGAATCTGCCATGCAAATAGTCTCTGCAGACAATGATTTAATTTCAGTATGAAGATAAAAAGTTTGGAGTTGTCCCAGCCTCCTGGCAAATACAAGGTTTACAGGAAACTGCAATTCAGATTATCATTTTTCCAGACCCTCCAATGGTTCTATCCTTTATCAATTTATTTCGTCACTATCCAAAGCCACTACAGCTCAAGGCACTCCTGCCTTTCTACTTGCAGGTCTATTAAGAAAGGACAATTATTCTGCAAAGAGGTGACAATTCCTTTATAGAAGATGTTGAATTCTAAAGTGGAAAACAGTACATCAATAATGAAAGGTCAGTAAGAATGCAAGGTGCCAACTTCATGACAACGGAGTGACTGCCAAAGGGGAGCGTCCAGTGAATATAGCGTACACGGGCGGAGCAGCCACTCACTGCTTTCAGGGGTCCCTTCGGCATGAATCCCTCTGAGATCAGCTTCCCATTGCACCACTAGCACTCCACGTTTGAAAACATAAAAAAAAAAAAAATAAGCCTTGCTCTACGAGAAGTTGATCTCATCTACATATAAAACTAGTTTAAAAACACCAAGATTTCTTCTGTATAGCACAGGGAACTATATTCAATATCTTGTAATAACCTTTAATGAAAAAGAATATGAAAATGAATATATGTATGCTGAGTCGGAGA